AGTGTCATATGTTTAGTGTCAACAGCTTGTACATGATCACTTCTGTTACTAGTGTTAGATACCTGTGAAGATCCGGATTAGAATTGGTCTTCAACAACCCATGCTTGACATAGAGGCAACTAAAGGGATTTGGTGGTCAGGCTTGCTGACTTGGTTGATACATGTCATCATATTCCCATTGCGTAGATTGATGTTTGATGTTGATCACTGGATTGTCGGGTCCAGACTCAATTAGTTACAGACCGTCGCCATATAGCTGGAACAGAGCTCCAGATAAGGGTCGTATTGGTGTATGTATGGATATAACATAAGCACGATACGGTAGGAAACAATTTTAAAAACGTAGCAGATACGGACCACAGCAATGGTGTACGGTTTCAGAATCATTTACAGACGTATTTATCTAAAAAAGTATTGTTTTATTGTTTACTGACCTGTTTACACAAGAGTAGCAATGTTGTGGTGCATATATGAAACGAAACACAAGATTACTGATATGCCATTAAATTCCATTCAGTACTCTAAATGTACTCTTATTGTTTTCCAGTACTCCTATATTGAAAAAATAAGGAGTACGTACTCCTGATCATGAAAAATTATCTGGAGCCCTGTGGAATATTGCTGAGTGTGGCGTTAAACAACATCGGAACCCAAACCAAACTTCTGTTACCAACACTCATTATGGGAGTGTTTTACGTTAATCTTTGTTATTTAATTAGATTTAACAAAAATTATACAAAGCTGATATGTCACGGTAATTGTTTCTTGTTTTATGCTGTTACAAAATGAAGGTGAAACGTTCTACGTTTCTGTAGTGTGTCTATGGTCACTGTTTGATATGCTATGGAGACATTGTGTGTATCAGTAACTAGAGATAAGCAGTGTATCACAATATGTTGAAAACATTCTGGTACATTCTGTTTTTCAAAGTAGTTTATTTCTTCAGTTTGCTCAAAAAGCTTTTAGGAGTGAGTATGTAATGAATAACTGTTACCTGTGATAAGAATAGTAAAACTCGGGAACAGGTAGGAAGGGCCAAGGGAGAGTCAAAAGGGCCAAACTTTTAGAAAATAGAAAGATTAAAAGAAATTCATTACATGTTGTTGCAGTAGTTCAATAAAACATAAAATATATATTAGTTTGTATGTTCTTGAAGTCTATGGCCCTTTTGACTTTCTTTTGGCCCTTTTGTCCTTTGGCCCTTTTGACTACAACCTTAAAACTCTATGCATTTTACGTGTGCCCTAGTCTCTGGACACAGGTGTATGTTTTGCACTGCCTTGTAAATAAATGATCATTTCATTGTGATCAGAAAATGGCATGATGTGATATATGATAAATAAATTATCATTTCATTGTAACAGAAATAAATAAATTCTTTAAAACTTCTTTTCATCCATAAACTACTTCAACTAGAAGAGTCCACTGTTAGATCATAGGGGTGCCACTAGTTTATCATTGCGTAGTCAACAGTCAACAGACCATGAAATGTTGTTTTAAGATTAGGCGAATTGGGATGTAGGTGAATAGAGAACAACCCTAGCCAATTAACATTTTGAAGGAGAACCCCTCTACTATGACTACTGTGTTTGCAGGGGTAACATTGTGTACTGGTCCATTGTAGGGGTAACATTGTGTACTGGTCCATTGTAAGGGTAACATTGTGTACTGGTCCATTGTAGGGGTAACATTGTGCACTGGTCCATTGTAGGGGTAACATTGTGTACTGGTCCATTGTAGGGGTAACATTGTGCACTGGTCCATTGTAGGGGTAACATTGTGTACTGGTCCATTGTAGGGGTAACATTGTGCACTGGTCCATTGTAGGGGTAACATTGTGCACTGGGGTAACATTGTGCACTGGTCCATTGTAGGGGTAACATTGTGCACTGGTCCATTGTAGGGGTAACATTGTGTACTGGTCCATTGTAGGGGTAACATTGTGTACTGGTCCATTGTAGGGGTAACATTGTGCACTGGTCCATTGTAGGGGTAACATTGTGCACTGGTCCATTGGTAGGGGTAACATTGTGTACTGGTCCATTGTAAGGGTAACATTGTGTACTGGTCCATTGTAGGGGTAACATTGTGCACTGGTCCATTGTAGAGGTCACATTGTGCACTGGTCCATTGTAGGGGTAACATTGTGCACTGGTCCATTGTAGGGGTAACATTGTGTACTGGTCCATTGTAGGGTAACATTGTGCACTGGTCCATTGTAGGGGTAACATTGTGCACTGGTCCATTGTATAGAGGGTAACATTGTGTACTGGTCCATTGTAGGGTAACATTGTGTACTGGTCCATTGTAGGGTAACATTTATTACCGGTCCATTGTAGGGGTAACATTGTGCACTGGTCCATTGTAGGGGTAACATTGTGCACTGGTCCATTGTAGGGGTAACATTGTGTACTGGTCCATTGTAGGGGTAACATTGTGCACTGGTCCATTGTAGGGGTAACATTGTGCACTGGTCCATTGTAGAGGTAACATTGTGTACTGGTCCATTGTAGGGTAACATTAACATTGTCCATTGTACTGGTCCATTGTAGGGGTAACATTTGCACTGGTCCATTGTAGGGTAACATTGTGCACTGGTCCATTGTAGGGGTAACATTGTGTACTGGTCCATTGTAGAGGGTAACATTGTGTACTGGTCCATTGTAGGGGTAACATTGTGTACTGGTCCATTGTAGGGGTAACATTGTGTACTGGTCCATTGTAAAGGGGTAACATTGTGCACTGGTCCATTGGTAGGGTAACATTGTGTACTGGTCCATTGTAGGGGTAACATTGTGTACTGGTCCATTGTAGGGGTAACATTGTGCACTGGTCCATTGTAGAGGTAACATTGTGTACTGGTCCATTGTAGGGTAACATTGTGCACTGGTCCATTGTAGGGTAACATTGTGTACTGTCCATTGTAGGTCAACATTGTACACTGGTCCATTGTAGGGTAACATTGTGCACTGGTCCATTGTAGAGGGTAACATTTGTGCACTGGTCCATTGTAAGGCGGTAACATTGTGCACTGGTCCATTGGTAGGGGTAACATTGTGTACTGGTCCATTGTAGGGGTAACATTGTGTACTGGTCCATTGTAGGGGTAACATTGTTATTACTGGTCCATTGTAGGGGGTAACATTGTGTACTGGTCCATTGTAGGGGGTAACATTGTGTACTGGTCCATTGTAGGGGTAACATTGTGCACTGGTCCATTGTAGGGGTAACATTGTGTACTGGTCCATTGTAGGGGTAACATTGTGTACTGGTCCATTGTAGAGGTCACATTGTGTACTGGTCCATTGTAGGGGTAACATTGTGTATTGTGCACTGGTCCATTGTAGGGGTAACATTGTGTACTGGTCCATTGTAGGGTAACATTGTGTACTGGTCCATTGTAGGGGTAACATGTACGGTTAACATTGTGTACTGGTCCATTGGTAGGGGTAACATTGTGTACTGGTCCATTGTAGGGGTAACATTCTGTACTGGTCCATTGTATGGGTAACATTGTGTACTGGTCCATTGTAGGGGTAACATTCTGTACTGGTCCATTGGTAGGGGTAACATTCTGTACTGTTCCATTGTAGGGGTAACATTGTGTTCTGGTCCATTGTAGGGGTAACATTGTGTACTGGTCCATTGTAGGGGTAACATTGTGTACTGGTCCATTGTAGGGTAACATTGTGTACTGGTCCATTGGTAGGGGTAACATTGTGTACTGTTCCATTGGTAGGGGTAACATTCTGTCCTGGTCCATTGGCAGGGGTGACATTCTGTACTGGTCCATTGCAGAGTAACATTCTGTACTGGCCCATTTGGGGCTGTAACATTCTGTGTTGGTCCATTGGTAGGGGTAACATTGTTTAATGGTCCATTGGCAGGTCGAACATTGTGTACTGGTCCTTTGTAGGGGTAACATTGTGTTCTGGTCCATTGGCAGGGGTAACATTCTGTACTGGTCCATTGCAGAATAACATTCTGTACTGGCCCATTTGGTGCTGTAACATTCTGTGTTGGTCCATTGTAGGGGTAACATTCTGTGTTGGTTCATTGTAGGGTAACATTCTGTGTTGGTTATGTAGGGTAACATTCTGTGCTGGTCAATTTAGTGGGTGTAACGGTGTATGGATTTATTTTTCTGGACTAACATTGCGTAATTATTGTCGGTAACTTTGCTAAAATTCAGATCACTGTGAGCACAAGTGCTGTTGAATCCCTATGCTCTGTACTGGCGTTTTCAGTTTACCTATTTGATCAATATATCCTTTCCTTTGTTCCAGGTTGTCCTTGAGGTGTAAACTGGTACAATGTTTAGCGCCTTTATGGATGTGTCCTGGTGCTAGTGGTGATGTGTCACACTGTGATTGGTCAGCTTAGACGATGAAGAGCTGCCAGATGAGTGGAACCCGGAGGACATGCCCCACCCAGTTAGGAACCCACAGCACTGCCGGCTGGGTCAGAAGCCAGGTTACCTGTGCGACCCTGATGGCATCCTGTCTGCCAGGAGTGGTGAGAACATCAATAGATTTCTAGCACTGTTGGAAAATAGGAAGAATTCCATGTCAGAATCCTACTGTTAAAAAAACCTAGGAGAAGCCATGTGTCCTGACATACTATTGAGAATAACAGGCAAAACATGTTGAGTAATGAGTGAGTGAGTGAGTATAGTTTAACACCGCTTTTTGCAATATTCCAGCGATATCATTGAGTTTGAGAGTTGTGTAGATGTGATGTCCATCTGTTGTTGCCCATAGCGATATAAAGCACTATCTGATGATCCATGAAGAAATATGCTGGCTCCTCTTGTTTGGTAACTGTGAAGTAGTTGTGAATGTATTGTTTGAGATGTTATTGTTCCTTGTGTTGACAGTGGAGCTGCTTGACTGGCTGCTGCGGGGTGCGTACGACAACGACACTGTCTGCCCATGCAGCACCTACTGGTGTGAGAGGGACCAGGAAGGGAACTCACATCTCAGTAGCTCTAGATCCAACAGGATGAAGCTAGCAGAAGCGTGAGTCCAGTGAGTATAACACTGAGTGCTTGGGAAATGAGTGCCCTTATGAGCTTGTCTATATATATATACAGTTAGGGTGAGTAGTTTTTAAGGTATGATAAATTCTTATTCATTTGAGTTTTAATGAGATACATATTTGAGTGCAATGTTGCTGAAAATGTTAAGTGTAATTCATTATTGAACAGTGTTGTGATTGTACTACATTTGTTATCCAAAGCGATCTTAGGTGAACATAACTCGAAAACTTAAACATAGACTTGGGATAGATGTAAGAACAACTACGGATAAATTTATTTGCTCTTCTTCCAATCATATTTATTCATTGTGATTATTTTCCTCCAGATAATAGTCTCATACCCAGCATTTTAGAAAGTAGTTGGGTTTCATATAACCTGATTGTTCCAGATTTGATGACCCTGACACTGCCGCCATGCAGGCCGCCAGCAACTTTGCTCTGAAACTTCAGAACCAGCACTGGAATTTTGGCACCTGTAACAACGATGTGGTTATATTCTTCTCCCGGGATGATGGCGTGGTAGGTTCTGGGTTCCATCCTGTGTCACCTCATTTCCACAGTACTGTTTGGGTTTAGATCTAGTCTAGTACTGTCAGTCGTAAAATGTTTTTGATTTGCTGACAATTTTATGTGGAAGTTGTCCTGTATGCTATGGAGAGTTTTGTCCCTTACCTATGACAGGATCTGATGGCCATTGCCTTGAATCCAAGACTTTTCTTTATTGTTTTCCTTAGATGGACTGAACTATACTTGTATTTGTGGTTTCACCAAGATCACATTAAGCTGACATTCTTGAAGAGTGTTTGAAGTGTAAAGAGTACTATGTGACTGTGAAGCTTATCGTATTACATGTCATGTGATGCTATGTCACACTGTGAGCACGTGATAGGCACATGCCTGTATTAATCTTATCATTGTGTTTCAGTTGTTTGTGTCATACGGCCAAACAGCAGCACTGAGGCTGAACAACGCAGTTGTGTCCTACATACAGGGACAGTTCGGACATTACTTTAGACCAGGCGGTGACATTTTCATTGGATTGGCGGAAATGGTCATAGCCATCAGGTGGGTAGTCATTGCCATCAGATCAAATGGCCATTGCTGTCAGGTGGGTAGTCATAGCCATCAGATCAAATGGCCATTGCCATCAGGTGGGAAGTCATCAGATCAAATGGCCATTGCCATCAGGTGGGTAGTCATTGCCATCCGGTAATAAATGGCCATTGCCATAAGGTGGGTAGTCATTGCCATCCGGTAAAAAAGGGCCATTGCCATCAGGTGGGTAGTCATCAGATCAAATGGCCATTGCCATTAGGTGGGCATTCATAGCCATCAGGTCAAATAGCCCTGCTGCCAAATGGGTTGTCATTGCCATTCAATCAAAGGGTCATCGCATCAGGTGGGTTGTCATTGCCATCCAATCAAAGGGTCATTGCCATCATGTGGGTAGTCATTGCCATCCAATCAAAGGGTCATTGCCATCAGGTGGGTTGTCATTGCCATCAGATCAAATGGCTATTGTCATCGGGTCAGTTGCAATCGCCTCCTGCTGATATAGTGTGTATGCATGACTGCAAGTTGCCTTTGATGGGATATCCCAAATACGGCTTGAAACCTTTCACAGTACAAAACTTTGAACTTATTTGTTTATACTATGTGATGTCTTGAAGTATCTGCTGGAGATATTTTCAGTATTATCGTTTGTTTACAGGCAAGTTCTCAATGGCAACTACTATTTGAGGCCGAACAACCCAAATGCGGAGCAACTTGTTGGTGGAACTAATCATGTGGCCTCTGGTGTCCTAGCAACAGTCATTCTGGCACTGGTGTCCAGAATTATGTCCTGAGGAGAATGTTAATTTCTGTTTCAATTCAATTCCAGTTTTTTTTCCCTCTTAATTATACATTTGCAGAAGGAAATTATAAAATGTCATCTAACATTGTCAAGATTTTTAATATCTGGGACTAGAAATTGAAGAACTGTTCATTTCTGTTATTTCCAAGTATTTCTAAATTAGTAAGATTCGAGGGTGAACTTTAGTCATTTGAACAAAGACTACCACTCATATGCTTTTCTTTTTTCTTCTTCAAGGACTCATTTTTTGGTTCTGAAAGAATTTTAAGGTATAAATGGCATTATTTACTGTATGATATTAAAGGTGCTAGTAGTTTGAAATAGCTGTCAGTTACTGTGGAAGTGTTTCCACTAGCACACAACAATAAGACCATAAGTAACTTGCATCCTTAAACATAGCCTTCACATTAAGACTATGGGAACTCCATGCTTTAGCAGACTTACAACAGTCTTAGCACTAAGACCATATACTTTAACATGGGCTAACAATAGTTTTAGCACTAAGATCATCGCCACTTGCACACTTGAATATGGACTAATGATAGTCTTACGACCATACAACTACATGCTGAACACAGACTTACAACAGTCTTAGCACTAAGGCCTTCGTGAAACCCTTATACTTTAACATGGGCCAGCGATAGTTTATCACTAAGACCATCGCCACTTGCATACTTGAGCGTGGACTAATGATAGTCTTAGTAGTCTTAATGTTACGACCATAAAATCCATGCGTATGACAGACTTACAATATATAACATACCTACGACAGTCACAGTTGTAAAATCAGTTTATGCAAGAGGGTCTTGGACCCTGTTGTACTGAGCTTCCTTAGTGCTAAGGTGATCGAACTCTGAGGCTTACAATAGTTGTAGTGCTAAGATGACTTTGTGAAAGAGCTTCGCCGGAGTTAACTTTCCTCTTATGCAGCGTGGAAGTAATGGGGGGTAGTCTAGTGGTTAAAGCGTTGGCTTCGTCAGCGCCCGAAGACCTGGGTTGAATCCCCACATGGGTACAATGTGTGAAGCCCATTTCTGGTGTCCCCGCGTGATGTAGCTGGAATATTGCTAAAAGCGGCGTAAAACCAAATTCAGTCAGCTTATGCAGCGTCGTCCTGAAGGATAGGAAGTGAAACAAGACTTCTTTGTTACGACTGTATCACCACATTATGAACTGTTCCACAACCACTGTACATGCTGCACCATGCTAAAGAAAGAACCAGTTTATGATGATCGCGTGTTGTGCACATGGTCATGTGATGAAGTGAAACTTGTTGTGTCGCTGTGTGTATATGTAAGGAGACTGGGATGCAGTTCTCGACACTGATGCAAAACAAGCTGGTCCTGGAATTTGTCATTAGGAGTTTATAAGTATATCACAGCATGAATGTGGCCATTTTGTCTTTCCACCTTATTCATTTAGCATAACATTCACAATGTACCGAATGTTAAAGAGATAATTTGTAACCTGAGTGTTTCTTCCACCAAACTGAAGGTTAAGCATCTGTTGTTGTTCAACAAGTGGATCATGGGGGGGGGGGTCTATTTCGGAAACTCTTGACAGGTAAAATCTGAATTTTACAGATAAGATTTTTGTTTTATAGGCGAAATTGTACAAGGAAAAGTCAACTAGCCCCTATAAATGGTGGTGATGTTTATGCATTGTCTGCTTTTGTTTATTCATCAATAAATGTTATCACTTGGCAGGATGTTATAGAGCTCTGCTGTTTAGATTTACCAGAATCTGTTTGTTGATCGTCTGTTTGATAATATTGTAGCATAATATGGTATTTATTCACTATGTAGTTCAATGTCATTCTGTTGTTCCTGCTATTCATTCATCTGTCCAGATACCATTATAGGTCAACCATTATGTTTTTATGTCTTTATAAATATATGTGCTTGTCAAGAGGTTTGGTTCAGATAATGTTTTATTATTCTGCATGATGAGATTATCCTTAATTATGAGTTGTTGCTTGCTTTTTTTTACAAGAGTTGTTATTGCTGATCCACTTCTTAGATAGATTAAGTAATTGAAAATAAATACTTATATTTAATGAGATGGGTATCCAAAATGATGCTTGTTTGTCTCACCATTAGAATGAAATAATTGTTTTGTTGTGAAGGAGTTACGTCTCGAACAATATCATTAAATAGGGAGTCATAGAACAGGAACTGAGAATCCAACTTCTGATTAAAGGGAAGTAACTCTACCTAATTCTGATTAATGGGAAGTAACTCTACCTAATTTTGATTAAAGGGAAGTAACTCTGGTTTTTCCACTAGATTAACAATCATAGAATATTATATAGAGGTGAGGTTCCTGATTTGATTTATGTTGGTAGATTAGGAAAATACCAGTTATTGTTGTATATGTATGGTATGTATTGTATAATGGGGAATGTAGCGTTTCTTTGTTTTTATTAAATAATCTCTAGGTTGTTTGTACACAGTGTAGAATCCTGGCAATACTGCCTCTGCTCGGTTCCATGAAGGTGTATTCAAAATGTTTATTGGATTGTTTTAACACTTTATACATGGTTTATTTACATCTTTCACTGTTCCTAATTTATTATTACTGTACAAGTTTGAATTTTACAGGCAAGATACAACTAAACAGATGCAGATTGCCAAAGTGTTTACGTTGTTGACCATTACAAAGTTAAACAAGTGATCTCTCCAGTACCAAGCAATATTCCACTCATGATGGATACTTGATCAGTGATTTTCCCCCATAATGGTTTATAATATGGATCCAGATATGGATACGTGATTCAGGATTTTCTCAGATAAGGCCAGACCAATTTTATTTCTTGTTTTACGGATCCGCCTGTCGTATATTTTCAAGAATAAGAAAAAATAATAATAGTACTTTTCCCTACTCGAAAATATAATCCTAATGTTTTATTGGCCAAAATGTAAACTTACAAGAAAAATGTTTTTAGATTGTTTTTGCCCCATATGCACTTCATAAAGTGGCTAAAAGTAAAATACTTTGAGTATTTAGAAGGAATATTACTTTGACTAGTGATTTTATTTTATTTTTTATTTTTTTTCCTCCTGCCTTTAGGTTTTCTGAGGACCAAAATCTGTAAAAAAGAAATAAAATTTGTCTGGCCTAATGGTTAAATATTGCAAATTGAAGTCCTGATGCCAATCTGTAGCTCCATCTTGTCCACTGTGTCTTAGCAATACCAAACTGCAGAAGTCTTTGAATGGAAGAGCTGGAATTGGTGCCATCTGTTCATTTGTCTTGGCATAAAATGATGAAGCCATGAGTTTCAAGCCTTTCAGTAAGTTAATATATTATGTGATACACTTGCCATTTATGAAAACAAAAAGGGTTTACATGTTTATGAATATTTTGTACTATGCACATCTTATAGGAGACTGAACCTCACATGTAACTTTTATACTGCAAGGAGTGCAAAGATGTATAAAGTGATTAAAATATAGTCTTTGAAGTCCAGTGTTATGTTTCTGTCAAACACAAACTATCCAGGTGTGTGTGAAAGATCACATTCATGTGATCATGTGATCATGAGTTTTACAGCACAGTCCCCATGCTTGTTGGTTTCATGGTTAAGGAAATGTCTATGAGTGAGTTTAGTTTTACGCTGCACTCAGCAATATTCCAGCTATATGGTGGCGGTCTGTAAATAATCAAGTCTGGACCAGACAATCCTGTGATCAACAGCATGAGCATTGATCTGCGCAATTGGGAACCGATGACCTGTGTCAACCAAGCCAGCGAGCCTGACCACCCCGATCCCGTTAGTCTAAATGTCTAATACCTACGCGGTGGGGTAGCCAATGGTTAAAGCGTTAGCTCATCATGCGAATACCCTGGTTCGATTCCCATGCACATGGGCACAATAATGTGAAGTCCATTTCTGATGTCCCCTAACATGATTTTGCTGGAATATTGCTAAAAAAACCATAAAACTAAACTCACTCAATCACTCTATGACCTACATCAGTTTGGACCTTTCTCAGCTAGTAAGACTACCATGATATACAGAGTTTAGAACAGCATTTAACTCACTCACTCATCTACAAACCTGGTTCATTTTAACATATTGTCAGCAACAATGATTTGTCATTAGCAACATGTACCTCCTTTACATCTAAACAAAACAGTTTTGTTGGTGATTTATGCAAACACAGACATGTTTTGCCACATGAATGGAAGCATGTGATGCAGCAAACCCACTACGAGGATGAGAATATGAGATGTATAAGAAAGATAGGGTGTCAAATACGAATACAATAACTTGTCACCAGTGATGGTTTTTTCTTATGTTCTGTCCAATGATACGGTATAGTGACAGGTTTTGACCATGATGACGGTCTCATATGTCATGACAATGACCAGTGATATTAGTTTACTGTCTAATGAAATGTATAAGGTTGTTAACTATTATCCTCCATGACTTGGATATGTTCCATTTTGCATATACTGCTTTAACAAATAACAGGTTCATGTAAAAAACCTCTTTATGAATTCATGAATATTCAATTATAGTGATTGTAACAAATTGAATTCATGAAGGACCACAAGTTCCATGCACCAAAGACATGATTGAATATTAATGGCACCGTCCCATGTGGTGTAGGGGAATGTTGCTGAAGTATCAGCGCCAAGCTGTCTTGTGGAAGCTGGTGTATTGCTGACTGAAGTTTAAAGCAACATTCATTCACTCCTGACTGGGCAAGAATGACTGGAATGTTCAAGGCGACATGCAGACAGCTATTTGTAACAGTGTGAGGCAATTTTATTATGTTGGTCTATCTAGTGATTGACAGCCTCCGTGGTGTAGTGGTTAGAGGTGTCATGAGGAAAGCCGGAAGGTCGTGGAGTTCGATCCCGACCGGCGTCATAACTAAAACACGTTAAAAATATGGTACTTGTTGGTGTTTCGGCATTAATGGGTACAACAAGGACTGGTGGCTCGAGGAGTCAGTATAATGTGTCTGAGGTGGGGTAGTCATG